GCACCGGCGAGCTGGTGACTCACACCGGGCAGGTGAGCTGCCGGGGGAGCGCGTCAGGCTGCGCTGTGCTGTGCCGGTGCCTGCGGGGCAGCACTGCCGGGGCCGCGGGCAGCACTGTGGTGTCCCGCTCTGTTTGGTACGCGCTGTGGAAATGAATGGTTTTGGGTGACACGTACGCGGGATGTACGAGTGGTTTCGTTAAAAAGAAACCTGTTAATTAGGAGCGGCGTCATTAGCCATTATTGTGCCTTCTGGTCTAAATCCGGCACTTGACCCCGCGGAGGAGTTGACCGGTAGGAGGTACCTCGGTGTCAGTGCCTTGTAACGCTGTTTTATCCGTTTTCTAATCGAGAAATTGAGCGTGTGAGCTAGGGAGGCTCGTGTGGTGCCTTGTGGAGATGGGAGAGAGGCATGACTGGTGGAGCTAACATAGGAAGGCTCTCACTGTGGTTACTCAGCTGAACATAAATAAATACTTAAATGTCCTAGTTTAGTTCACCTTCTAGGTGTCAGTGTGAGATCAGGGAACAGCATTATCAGTAATAAATCTGTGCTCATTTCTGATCGGAGCTTCTTGATCATTTCTGATCAGAAGCTCAGGCTTTGTTTATTGGCTTTCACACCATCCCCTACACCACCAGTTTTTCCCCTTCTTTTCTGCTTTCCACCATAAAATTTATTTTCCTGAGGGAAAGGGAAACTACTTTTTCTGTATAGTAACTACTTGCAAGATGATGATAATACTTGAAACTAAGGAAACAGTTATTTATTTTGTAAGCCTTTGTATTCTTTGTTTAGAGTTACTGCTATTTAAATAATATCAAGTTTCTTTTATGTTCTAGGTATATGATGAGAACGATTATAGAAGAGTTAGATTTGTTGGACGGCAAAAGGAGGTAACTCATTGTAGTTTTTCTCATGGGAGAGGGGGTAGTTTGTGGGGTTTTATCTTTGTACTTGATAGGAATTTCCTCAGCCTGGTTGTCATTAAAAAACACTACAAACAAAAACCCTACCACACCCCTAAAAAACCAAGCCCAAAACCCACACTGGAAACCAACCAACCAAAAAGGATCAAACTACCAAACCAAACGGGTTTGGGTTTTGCGTTTCAGTGGGGTGTTTGTCACTACAGTGAAAATTCTTTTTTAAGACAGCTTGCATGAGGTTCTGTCTGCCTCCCTACTTCTGACAAACTTGGGAAACTCAAGACTTGCTCTACATCTGTTAAGTGCTTGTGTATAGCTTGTTGAAGTTGTAGGCATATGAGCACCTTAAACTTGGATGAGATTTTAAGCATGTCTTTTTAAGAAACTTGTGGCCGGTTCTTAGTGCATTTATATTCAGAAAAATCACATAATTGAATACTCTGCTGAATAGTGCATTTATATATCTGGCTAGATATGTGTTTTGAGGTTTAATTTGCTTCTGCATAGTTGAAATTTAAATCTTTACCCAAACTGAGTTTTTAACAAGGCCATTCCCAGAGTCCGATAAGCATTTGCTGAAAGAGTGAGGTAACAAATAAAAGTAAAAAGGTAGAATATTTTGAAATAATGAAGCCTCAGATACAAAGTCTAGTAATACCAGTGTCATCCAAGTATACTACTGTGAAGGTATCTTGGGGACTTGTTGCTGCTGCTTACAGTTTCACAGACCCACTCTTGACAAGTCCTTTAGCAAAGAGTTTTCTCTAATGATCAAGCTGTACAGCTCCATGAGGAATCTGCTGGCCTTTGGCAAAGAGACAGATTGTTTCAGCTATATTGTATTCCTCAATGCCTAAGCCTCTGATTAGTGTTAATGCTATAAATGTTTATGTATAGCAGAGGCATTAAATATAAGGTGTGGTAGATTTTTAATGTAGTTGCATATAATTATTCTCTTCCTAAATTAACCTGAACTAATTATATTGACTTCTGAGTTTTCATACTGAGTTTACCTCATTGTATCACAGATATAATTTAACTCATGCTGTGTGGCAAAAGTAGGGATTCTACATGTGAAATAATTAAATGAAAATATCGCTTAAAATGTTGTTTTAGCTTATTTCTGGGCAGATAGTTGGCAAAGTGGTCCCCTCCCAAGTGTACTGCCTATTTCTGTGCTACCTCTGTAACTGTGTAAGCCTAATTCTCCCCAGGGCAGTGGTCCCTCAAACATGCCTTTGCCATCAGGTGATTTCAGACTCTGTGTGGTGTGGAACACCCAGGGCTTTCAGTTCAGCCTTGTTCTTCCTTCTCCAGCAAAAGTTAAGCTTTAAGTCTGCTGAGCAGGTTTTAATGCTAGGTTTTAATTGCAAAATTGGGACAAAATTTAAATGCTAAAGTGATTCCCTCTGTGCTTATTAATGGGATCTCACTCTAGGGGCTTTGCCATTATCCCACAGTGCATTTCAGCTGCTATTATTAGGGTTTGACAGCCATGTCTGTCGTCTGTATGTTGTCTTGTCTCTGAAGCAAAAGCACACCTGTGACATTGGTGACTGTTATTTCTCAGTTGCTTCTTTTTGCCTTCAGGCTCCTCCAGGTTGTTGTGTGTGGCTTGTGATCAGCCCAGTCCATCCATGGCAGCTTTCTTGTCTGGGGATGCCCCCTCTGGACACAGGTGCCCCCATTGAGGCTATCCGGGCCCACGCCTGTGTTCTTCAGGTGGCCAGGCCCAGGGGCATGGTCTAGAGTGTGTGTTTATTGTCCCCTCATGAAATCCATGTGTTTTAGCTAAATTAATTGTTCTCTGTGCTGGGTGTGCACAACCAGGGGATTAGTGCACTCTGGCAAGGATCTAAAGCAAGTAGCTGTGAGAAGACTGAGCATGGCAACTGCTAAACTGCAACTACTGCAGGCTGACTAGGTCATCCTGCCATGGTGTAATTCCTAAGGTAGCACAGGACCTAACACTGCCATTCCCACTTCAGCTCCACCTTTTCTGTTGGGCTGGTGCAGCAGCTGAAGATAAGAGGAGAACTGACCTCAGAGCTGGTCTGTTTTAAATATTATCTCCCACCTTCCCTCTATATCTTTGGACCTGGGTAAAATCCAAGTTTGGTTTTGTCTCTTTGGTCTCCCAGACCATGTACTGACACAGATAATTAGGTGGAAAGAAGCAGCAGTGGAATTGTCAAACTGGCACTGTGGCCAGGAAAAAAATTCTTCATTGAATTATGCATTGGGCAGGATGTGTTTGGGTGCACCGAGGGAAACAGCCCCTTCCTTTTAAGTACTGCTGTGCCTCAGTTGAAGGGACATGATGTAACTGAAACCACTTCTGGGTTTTTTTTTTGGCATATTTTCCCTGTGAATTCCTAGACTGTCTTTTTTTTAGTAGACTGAACCACAAACAAATCAGGTTCTTGCTTTCCCCTCTCCCCACAAATATCTTTATGGTTAAGAAATGTTGGGAAGAGTGGAGTTCTTGCTTCTGATTTTGATGCAAAAGTGTAGCATGGTGCTATCTCTCTCCTATAGCATGAAATGAAGGATGCACAATTTTGAGTGTTATTGAAAGCAGCAGTAGAAGTCCTTGCAGTTTAGCAAAAATTACATATGACTTGCAGGCTCAGCCCCCCAGTGCCAAGTTGCTTCAATACCAATACTGAATTTTTAAACTTTTTCTTAGCTATCATCTGATTTTGGTAAAGACAGGTTGGTTGTTGGCAAAAGTGCCTTTTCTAGTGCTGTACCAAAAATGTGGATTTTGGGGAGACTTAATTGGAGGCTTGGTGAAAGATCCTAAGTTGTTGTATACTAGACCTATATAAAATACCATCATAGTTCATAGGGATTTGTTTAATGGATGCTCAGCTGTCTTTCCCAAGAATCTCGTCTTCATTCAAATACTAACAGGCTTATGAACAGTATACACAGAGCAGTAGATAGTGCCTTCTTTGGGTGTGCATATTACTTTGTATTCATGCTTGTATCACCTTTGAAAAAACTGTCCCCTCCTGGAGTATTTTTGCCTGAGCTGTAGGGGTAGTTGTCTGCTCAGTGCTGCCTCGGAGTGTGTTGAGAGAGACTGGTGTGGATGAGGGAGGAAAGTGTTGTGGCTTGGTGCTGTAGGTCCTGCTAAGGCACAAACTGCTGTTGCAGGCCATGCAGATATGCTCTGGGAAAAAGCCCTACTTGTCAGTGATGTGCATATTCAGGAAGTGTGTACAGTTGATTTAGAGTGGCCTAGTGACATTTAGAGGTTTTTCCTTTTTCTAATGCTGAACAATTCATCTTTCTGACTGTCCTTATGCACCACATTCATGTTTTCATGAGATTGCTCTGCAGTGGTGGAATAAGGTGCGTGATGAGAGGCTCTAAATTACCAGTAATTGTTTTATCTCATGCCTGACCCTGTCTCACTATTATTTTTTAGTATATTAGCAGTGATTCTTTTGCAGTTTTATCATGGAGTCACTAAAGCAGGACATAGAGACAGTGTTGGTTAAATATCTTCTGTACTTGTCTGCTTGTTCCTGCTTCACCTCTCTGCTGAATCTACTCGGGTCACATAAACCCAAGCACTGATGTGGCCTGTATATCGGGGAAAGGGATTACTTTTGCAGAGTTTAACATGTAGTCCATTGATCTGGCTTATAGCACAGCCTAAGAGCTGGTGGAGGAGGTGGGGGGAAACCTGTGCAGGTACTTCTCAAAATGGCTGCAGTGGAACTGCTTGGGGAGGCAGCAAATAGCCATTGCTTTCTGTCTGAGTGGGGAAGATATCTGAAAGTTTCCCTTTTTTTCCTACAGGTGAACAAGAATTTTGCAATTGATTTGATAGCAGAGCAGCCTGTGAGTGAAGTTGGAAGCAGAGTGATATCGTGCGATGGTGGTGGTGGAGCTTTGGGACATCCTAAAGTATACATAAACTTGGTAATGTCATTATTCTGCATATAGCATGTTTAGCCTGTAAATTCTGTTTTTTAAGGTTATCTACTTTTGGGTACCTTAGTTTAACAAAGTGAAAGGGGTAACCACCTGAGGTCTTATTTTATTTGATGCCTAATATAAAATGGGAAGTAGAAGTTTGAAGTTACAGGAATTCTTTTTTGTAATTTTGATTCTTTTAATAGCACAATATTTTTTAAAAAGGGCTTTAAGTGAAGTAATAAGAATGAAAGCAGTGTCCTGAGAGGAAAAAAAAATAACATCCTTGCTGTGTTTTGGGACTCTTACTCTAATTATTTAAATGCCACTATGTAGATTGGTGATACATTTGCAGTGTGCTTAGGAATATGCAGTTTATTTTGAATCTTGCAAGTTTAGGGGGAAAAAAGAGAAAAACAAAACCAAACCCCTCCAGTTGTTGGGAATCTTGGTAGTTCTGAAGATTAAATGTTTCAGTCATAGTCAGACAATCAATGAAAAATAATTGTTGTCTTATCACTGCTGTCAGTAGGATAATTTCCAGTGTATTCTTGTTCTAGAGAGTAAAAGTATTGAAGCTACTGCCATATGACCTTAGTGGAATCAGCGATGACCTGTTGACTAAGTACTGTTCTCAGGCAGGCTCTGACTGCAGATATCTTAAAATCTTTGCTTGCTCACCTAAGCTTTGACATTTGCTTAATGCCCAAAAGAATGGTGGGGGAGAACTGGTGTCCTTTACTGTCAGTGTTGTTGTGACTCCTAGCTATAACCACAAGCATTTCTCTTTTGTGCAAAGTAAGAAATTTCTAATGATTCATTTTACATTATTCAAAGTCAAATGCTCAGAAGTTCTGATTCATAACACTTAGGAGGCTGATGGTTTTCCACCTTAACTTCTGTAGCACACTGCTCATCAGCTGCATTTATGTTGATTTGTTTGGCCTGTGCCACACTCTTCTTGGAGAATTCTTTAATTCTTGTGTAAAGTTCACAAAACGATCTCTTTTTGTGGTAACAACCAAATTACAAGATATCTGTGGTTTAGTTCTAGAAAGCTAATGGCTGCAAACAGAGGGAATGGTATAAGATCAGCTTGTTTGTCCTAGCCCTTGTAATTGAAATCCAGGCTTTTGGGAGTAGAGAGTAGTTTGGACTTCTCACTTCTAATCCTGTATTAAGGAAAGGGAAGATGAGTTCACTTTCATTCATGACTGCAAGTAGTTATGTTGCTAAATAACAGAATTTCCCTCAGTATTTAACTGTCTTGTGTTTTGTTATGTTAGGAAGGACTGCAACAACGGCTCAGTCACACTTCAAAATTTTTAAAAATACATGTATTTTTTTGAGAAAATAGTAAAATTGTATGCAGTACTAACTGTTACTTTTCCCTAAAACATTTTCTTTTGGAATTTCTCATGGATTCCTATTGAAATTTCCTCCTCCCTTTAACAAACTCTGTTACTAATCAAAATTCCTGTCAAGGATATCCCAAATCTTGTTCTGTATTGAAATAATTATGAAATTATCTTTTCTGAACATTGGAACAGATATGACTGAATGGACTTAAGATGTCCACTTTGGTAAGAGGATCCTTTATTGCAGGAGAGATATCACTTAGCTTGACTTTAAAATTATATTGTTGAAATTAGGCCTGGTAGTTAAAAGTCTGGCAGAGGGGAAGCTGCATAGGATACAGAAATCAAGCATGAACCTCATACCATCATTCCTGATTGCAGTGCTTCAAATAAGATTAAACTCTGAACTTCAGCTATATTGATCTGTTTTAAGATGACCCACACAAATAAGAGAAAGTATGTGATTTCTAAAAGTTATAAAATGTGAAACTAGCAACTGTTGTATTTTTGTTTTTGCAGGACAAAGATACAAAGACTGGAACATGTGGCTACTGTGGACTTCAGTTTAAACAGAAACACCACTGAAATCCCTGCATGCTTGCAGATTTCTGTTCAGATGTTAATGTTCAACTATGAATAAACAATATATTTAGAAAGCCAAAATTAGCATTTGTGTTTGTCTTAACTATGGAAAGTCCACTCTGTACCTTTTTAAGATGCAGCTTGTCAGGTATGTGAGGGCTGAATGGTATTACAATATCTGTTTTGTAGTTAATTTGTTTTTCGTGTTTGGCAGACTTCTTGCAGGCTCGGAAGTGGTGTTTGTCTGTAGCATAGGTTTGGTTTGTACTGGGTAGATATGTATTGTTTTCAACACTGAATTGGATGTAAATGTTTACTGGGTGATTAATTATCCTAGGTGTTTGTCTTTTGTCATTGTGTGAGACTCTTAATTGGTTCATAGTCTAGTATCTATAGCTAGATTCACAAATGGAAGCGCAAAGAGATGATACTTAGCCTTTAAACACTCACTCCTGGAATCAAGGTTGTCAGCCCTGAATTAAGTAGCTGCACTTGCTACTTGTTTAAAAGAAGCCACCAGTGCCTAGAAGGGTAATCACTGTGAGCTGGAGAACTACCTAAGCTGGCGCATGAGAAAGGTGAGAATATAAGTATTTGCCCTTCAGTTGAGAGGGGAGAGTGTATCTGATTCTGCTTGGGATTCACACTCTTGAAACCTCTTTAGGAACTGAGTCTTGTCTGACTCAAAGTAGGCATTGCTCCATTACAGGTAGCAGCTTCTGCTCCCTTAATACAGACAGTCTGGCATTGAGAGCATCCACCTATGTGTAACTTCACCTAGGCTGTGTGAGGTTGGTTGTGGGGCATCATTTACCCACTTGCTTAATTTTGCTTGGGTAGCATTCCATCATGTAAGCATGACTTTCAAACAGTGTGGAGAAGACAGTCTCTGTCTGGAGAAGAAGGGTCTGAGTTTTGTTTGGTCTTTGCTCCAGAGAGCATTTTAATGTATTGTCAGTAACTGACTTATTTTAAATGCTGGCAGTGGAACATGGTACCAAGTAGTAATTGCTTCTAGGCTAAAGTTTAATAGGCAGGATTCTAAACCTGCTGTTTATATATATATATATCACTCTAGTTAAATTGATGTGGTGGTATCAAGTGGAACCAAATCATGTAGGCCTAATGCTGCTTAACTTGCTTGAGTCAATTTATGAAGTTGAACCAACTCAGGCTTAAAGCTTGAAGCAGGGTCTGAGGTATTCTCTCTATAGAAGTAATGTGTTCAGAGTCTACCTTGAATGTGAGTAATTGCAGGTACACCCCTCTTTTTTCATTCACTCCACCTATAAGAGCTTAAAGTCCCTTTCTGTCTCTTCCCCTTCTTCTGCCTTCCCTCTGTTTTTCTCCTTTTTCTCCTAAGTTTACTGTAGGTTACTGCGCACTGACTTTTCTATAAGCCCAGGGTCTGTTATGTGACTGTAGTTTTGTAATGTTAGTGCAGTGCCCTAGTTAACATATGTTGTGTTTTGAGTAGCACCTGAGCCTGTACAAAGATGGCAAAGGATCCCTCCATAAAACCCAGTAACTTGCATTCAGCCTATCTGACCTTATGCTAATGATCTGTCAACTGAGCATAAATGTGACGTTAAGAACAGTCTCCTGGTAAGTCCATCTCATGCTTTAAGTATAAAATAATTACTTGAACTAGCAGGGTATGTCTTTAAGCATAAATCTGGTTGCATTTTAGTCTGGCTCTCTCCCAGTTTGTAGAACGTCTTGGCTGACAGAGTTCTCTCGTGGGTTCAATCATCTCTGCAAAAAGACCTGAAACAAGTAATTGTATGTGGTCCTCTTCCTTGGACCTTTGATGTTCTTATGAATAATATATCTGCTTGGATCACTGCTGCTCATAATAAATTAACAATGTTTAAATTGGCACGGCATCTGCTGAGGACCTAGACAAATCCCATCCCACTGGTCTGAACTATGGAATGATGGTTTTGGATGTTCTCCCTAAAGTACTTGTGAGTGAAGCTGTTGACACCAGTGAAACAAAGAAGGTCTCTAATTCACTCTAGTGATCTTCATAGGAAGACTTTAAACTTTGTATCTTATAGTTTCCTGTGTGCTGAATTTATGTATCTAGTTGAGAGTGGCTGTTCATATGAAGTCATGCACTTTGAGCTAGACCATCCACATGCTGTGGAAAGGCCAGCATTGATTTGCAGTAAAAAGAAGTGGGGGAAATCAGGAACTTTAGCTGTGGTCATCACAAGCAGATGCATGTGGAAATGGATCTATGAGGATAGACTAAAACACATCAGTATCAAAGTGAGAATAGACTAAACCAGATAAATACCAAATGAGCATTACAGTTCTGAGGCCACAAATTCAGATTTGAAAGCAATATGGACTAAAACTTTCAGATTTAGATTCAGTCAGGCACTGCTTGGTTCCTCATAGATAATTCATCCCAGGCTGGAGCTATAGTCTCTTATTCTGATTACGAGAGTACAAACCATAGTTTATATTCTGTCACTATGGAAATGTGGAGTATTCTACACTAATGTGCTGTTTGTCTTAACAACTTTATCTTGCCTTTACTAAAACAAGGTAGGCTTTTTTTTTCCTTTAGTGCCACATACATTAAGCTTTCCTTGGTGAACATCACTATGTATTTAAACTTCCAAAACAAGTAAGGACCATCCATCCTTTTCCTCACATTACTTCGTAGCATTCTGTCCTCTAATTAAAAAGTAACTACAATGAAATTGCAAAGCAAATTGTGTATGTTCATAAGAGCACAAAGCACTACTATGATTATGGCACACTAGGCAAAAATGCCTTTTCTAAAATTTCTTTCAGTCATCTGGCTAATCAGCAAATAGAATCCCTAAACTTCTTACTCTCTGCCCTGCTGGTAATACTTGCCCTTTTTATTTAATGTTCTTGCAAGTATCAGACAAAGTACAAAATACTGTAATAGCAACAGAAATGTTTGGTTCTGTATTATCTACATTGTTGGCATTGCTCAGTGTGTACCCTGTTACTGGTCTACATTGCTTTGAGAGGCAATGCAATCTTTCTGTGGTGGTGTCTGGCAATGTAATCTAAGTTTAAAGCCAGGGATCCTTGAGAAGCATGTTTGACAATTCAGTCTTGCCAATGGAATAGACTGAGCAGGGAAAAATGACCCCACATTTACCTTGTCAAAAGTTCATGGCACAAATTATGAGTCTTCCTCTCCGCAGGTCCATCAGGGCTCGTGTTACTAGGGAAAAATAGCAGCTTTACTTTCCATAGTCAGAGGCAATATAGTAGACCAAAAAATAGTAGAATTACATACATATGTATTGTTGCTATAAATGCCACTGTGATAGAGATGGTCATCTCTTCACATACTTTTATTTTTGCCGAGCATTGTCCAATGTTAACAGTGTGTGTGACAAGATACGCCTTGAAGACCTTGTGTGCCCAGCTTCTGACAGGCTTCAGTCCAGGCTTTCCAGATCCAAAAGCATTTTCTACTGACCAATGGCAGTGGGGGGGGTTTCAAATGGAACATGATTTTCAGGTTTTCCATGTGGAAAACAACTCTTGAAGCTCAGGTGTGTTTAAGATATGGTGAATTGAACTAGCAGTTACAGGAACTTATTTTCTGCACCTGAAATTTAGACTGTCATTATTGATTATCCTAGGTTCACATTGCCATCCAAAATCCTCAGTATTCAGGTACCAAAAGTTGAACTACATTACCATGTGAAAGAACAGATCATGGAGGTGCTACAGAGGAACCAGAAACGTAATTTGTGCAATATGGGAAGGACTTGGTGGAGCACTGGGAGCATTGCCTTAAAGCTTCTCTCATTTCTCCAAAGGGGCTGTTAGTTTCCCACAGTGTGATACAAATGTTCCGAGAACATGCATCACTGCATTTATCCATACATCTTCTGCTGAGACAACATCCTGCTTTAGGAAGTCTTCTGTGTCAGCCTGCTGTGCACACATTTTTATTGACATCCCGGCACCTGTATGCCAGGACAAATGCTATCAACAGCACTTTGTAGTGAAGATGTCATTTTAGTGAGTGCTAGAATTCAAGCACAAAGTTCTTATCCCTCAGCAGTGTAAGCAGTGTGGATGCAGTCATGCAATGGAAATATATTTAAACATTGCAGAATTTATAAAACTAGCTGCAGCTTTGTAGATATTTTTCCACATTTTCTAAATGTTCAGCTTTGGATGTATTTTCTCCTTTACGTTTTTTGAAGTTTCGTCCTGCTTTCATTCTTGTCCTCTTCTGTCATTCTGTTGCTCCCTACTCTCTCCCTTCCTCCCCTCTTTATTTTGTACCAATTACAAATATAGGAAAAATATTTAAAAGGAAATTTGTGACTTTATAGTTGTTATATATACTATATAATTTGCTTTATACTTGCTATATTTTATCATATAGTTTACTATAAACTCTCTTCAGTTATGTTTTTTTAACATCAAGTCATTTCCGTTTCTATTAACTTCGTCTAAAATATTTAAGTCACTGACTTCATTGGCGTGAATAACTTTCTATGACTGAAATTTGTTTTCTCTATTACAGATATAAAGAAGAGAGGAAAATTAGCATAGAAGCCTGGTGTGGTATATTTACTTGGGACAGAATAGTTTGCATTTGGTTTGGTTGAATTTAGGTTTTTATTATTGTTGTGGGGTTTGGTTTTTTGTTTATTTCTATGTTGGCTTTTTTCTTCTCCCAAAGGATGTAGTTGGGAGCACACAGAAATGCACATTATTTAAAGATTTGATTTGTGGTAGGAAGGAGTCATTTTCAAGAAAATTTCAAGTAAGGTGGGTCTTTGTTTCTAGGAAGGATTTGTTGATTAAGGGAAGGAGAAAAGACATGCATCTTCTCCCTTTTCTCTAAACAGTCTGCAATTGGTAGCAGAGCTATGATTTAGTACCTAATTAGACTTAGGGAAGTCCCTTAATCTTTGGAGTGTGTAGTACTCTTCAGAAACTTTCCCTTTTACAAAATGTAAAACAGGGTCCTTGTGCATCAGTTGCTGAAAGGAACCCTGAAATGTGTTTTCGACACTGAAAAAGGATTTATAAACAAATTGGGGTAACAGTAACTGTAGCAG